GAAATAAATGCGGTTTCGTTATCAGAAACTACAACTTGCGGAATGCCAACAGTTGCGAACAGTGATCGAAGCACATCCGTTGCAGCGGAAGTAGACTGTGACAGAACTCGTCTTAATTCCAACCACTTGGAGAATGCCTCCACTACGATTAAAAAAACTCTTGTTGTTCACAAGCCACGGGGAGTCAACATGAACGACCTTCCTTGGTTCATTTGGACATGTCTCGCATGATCGCACCTTCGACTTTTTATGTCGGCATCCAAACCAGGCCATTACAAGTAACTGCGAACAAAATGTTTCACTGTAGCCATTACTGGGTGATTTGCATGAAGGAGAGTCAACGCTTTCTCTCTTTTTTTCGTAGAAATTACGACAACTCGTGCGCCCCATAACATAGAACGGTGCGTGAAAAGTTCTTGCGCTCGACTCTTGTTTGATTGAAAACTTGCACCCTGCCATGATGCTGATAATGCGATTTGTAGGCCATGATGAACCTGAGAAAGAGTAGGGTTTTCTATTGCCAATCTGACTACTTTATCGGCAGTCAGTGGAGGTTTTCCCAACCCATCCATTAACACGTCAACTGGTGCTGCTAGCTCATCTGCACTGGAAGCCATAGGAGGTCTACTGAGCGCATCTGCATTCTGATGAACTTTCCCTTCTCGGTACACTAACTCATAATCATAGGCACTCAAAATCACGCATCAACGAAGCATTCTCGGTGGTAAAACTTGCTGAATCTGTTTGTTAGGGCACATGATTCCAAGAAGTGGCTCGTGGTCAGTCACGATGAGTACATGCCTACTGGCAATATACTGGTGAAAATGCACGAATTTAAACACAATTGCAAGGCCTTCCCTGTCAAGCTGAGAATAATTTCTCTCGCGTTTTCCTAGGGTTCTTGATGAGAATGCTGCTGGTATTTCTTGTCTGTTCCCGTCCAGCTGCGCAAGTACTGCTCCTCGCCATAAGGTGAGGCATCAGAGCTCAGCATCAGCGGACGAGAGTCGTCGTAATGCGCAAGGACCGTACATTCACGCAATGCGTCCTTAATGTGATCACTACCTCAGCTTCTGGACCCATATTCATCTATGTTCATCAGCCTTAGCCAATCATTTAAGTTTTTTGAAAGCAGCCTTGTGCGGAGCTTCCCATTGCCACTTAGCTTTTATGTAAACAATATAGAGGTTTGGCAATAGAGGTTCGGACGAATTGTCGCAGAGAAACCGGCTATAAAAGCTTATCGTTCCTAAGGATTGCAGTTCCGCCTTGTTTGTTTGTACTGGTGCACTTGTTGTTGCTTCGACCTTTTCAGACGTTGGCTCAACCCCCACAGAGCTCACTTTGTAACCCAAGAACTGCACTTCACATACACCAAATACGCACTTTTCTTTGTTGGCTTTGAGGCCTGCCTTTTGCAAACACTGCAGAACTGCTTCCAATATATCTAAATGTTTTTCATTTGATGCTCCCATAATGAGAGTGTCGTCCAGATAGGCGCAAACACCGGGCAGTCCAGCAAGCAGAGTATCCATGAAGCGTTGAAACAATGCTTCCTTTATTTCGTTCAATGCTAGTGCAAACACGCACTCTGCAACGGGAGCTGTTCGTCCACCTTAGTTCAGAGAGTGGTCGTGACGCGACGCCACATGAGGGGCAGGGCTGCTTGCATCACAAGTGCTTCCCAAGGCTTTCCCACGAGGGCACGATAGACTTGTGTCTCTCCAATAGCATATGTCTGTCAGATTTCTTCCTTCAAGCTTCTTCTTTGTGGCTAAAGGCAATGGCGCCACCTCCTCACAGCACTGGTTATGCAGCAGCGTGACCGTGACGCGTCCCCATTGGTTGCCCGCATAGCGCCGCGAATGGTGACACCACGCTATCTCAAAACTTACATAGCCAGCGTGACCACAAACATTGTGATAACGAGGAGTGCAAGACGCCGCCCCATAGATCTGTACACAACTGTACAAAAAATTACTTTATATTATTCTCGTCTTGAGGCACTGAATGAGGGGCTCTCTTCCCAATGACCGCAAGGCACATGCAAAGGCTAGGCGATGGGAGAGAGCAGGAAAGGGCCACAGGAGAGGGTGGTGAATGGCTGGATCGGGCGCATCCGGCTGGCATTGATAAAATAGAGAAGGCGCTAGTTGGAACTTACATGGTGATGCTGAAACACCGAATAATAGCTGTTTCACCGCGTACAATCCTTTAACTTTATTGATGGTCAGCATCTCTGAAGTGGCCCTGTCGACATGCAGTTGTTGATAAGCCTGTGTTAAATCAATCTTGGGGAATATTTGTCCACCTTGAAGAGTTACAAGCAACTCTGCTGCCGTTGGCAAATAATATGCAGTTGGCTTGATACGCACATTCACAGTGCTTCTGTAGTCCCCGCACAACCGCAAGGATCCATTCTTCCTCACCACTACCATAGGCGTAGCCCAGTCCGAGGCGGTGATGGACTCAATTATGCCTGGAGTTTGTCGAGCTCTCGACAGAAAGCATCGCGTACAACAAATGGCACCTGCCAGCATTTTAACAACTTGGGTGTCGCGTGTTCAGCCATGTTGACGCGTACAGGTGTGCTTGAATGTCCAGTGAGAGCATCATCGAACACCACAGAGCACATGGCTAAGGTGTCTTCAATGATTCAGTGAGATTGTTGAGCCCATGCATCGTAATTCCCAGATTTTCGAACCAATTTCTTCCTAACAAAATGGCATGATGTCTAGACATTCTCCCAACCATGTCCGTAGAGCAAGCTTGCATTCTCCCAACCATGTCCGTAGAGCAAGCTTGCATTATCTTAACACCGGGGCATTATGAGGCCAAAGGCGAGCAAAAGTCGCTTCACTTATGATCGAGAACGCCTCTCTCGAGTCAACTTCCATCTTGAGTGGCTGACCAGAAAGTAGAACTGTCACGACAAACTCAGGTGTGGTTTTCATCAGTGGTTTCATATGAAAAACTGTAAGGAGGTAGTCGTCCTGTTCTTCTAACAGTTCGTCTTTCTCTTCTAGACAATGGTTTCCCTGGTACTTCTGTGCTTTAGCCTTTTTAGAGAGACAAGGTTTGTGGCGATGTGACCTTTCTTATGGCAGATGTTACACAGAGCATTTTTGAAGAAACACTTCTCTGCCCTATGATATGCTAGACATCGAAAACACAAAGGCGACTTGCTTGTAGTACACTCCCGAAAATCCTGACAATTTACACCGTAAGTGTCAGCCTGCTGCTGACTGCCTTGTATCTTCCTCTGCTGGTCTTTTGCTGATTCAGCCGTCAACACAAGTTCGTAGGCTTTCTTAAACGTTAGCTTATCCTCCGCAACCGTTGTTAAAGATGAGAATCATGGATTCCACATACCAGTCTGTCTCGAAGCATCACTTCCAAAGGTAGCCTCGTACTCACTGCTTGAGATAGGACCTCCGCAATACCGCCTCGCACCTCCCGTACCGCCATCATGGAGTCTACGTTGCCAAAGTTGCAGTCCTTTGCCAAGGTTCGCAGAGCTGTCACATATTCTTTGACGGATTCGTTCGAAAACTGGTCTCGTTTATGGAAAGGATAACGACCAAGTAACTCAGACGGCCTGGGGTCAAAGCACTGTGTCAGTAGCTTGATGATGTCCACCGAGTCCACCTCAAAAGTTTTCTGTGTGGCCACCAGGGCCCTCAATGTTCCGTAGGTTTGATCACCACAAAGCATAAGAAGCACAGCTCACTTTTTGGCCGATTCTACTATGTCACTGGTTTCATAGTAGAACTCCAGGCGCTCTACCCATGACGCCCAGTCAGTGCCAGGCACAAATTCTGGTATCTTGCCCCTTTGGGCATCGTCTTCAAGGTGAAGCTGCGTAGCGGGGTCTCATTACCTCGTCACCAGTATTATAAAGTCCCTTTATTGTATTTCCAGAACACTGAATGCAGTAGCCTGGTCACGAGCTCAGAATCCTCGGCCGCGCCACTTCGTTCTCTTCTTCGCTCGCTAGTCCCTAAGCTGATAAATAATAATATGTCGAACAAGAAAAGTTTCCACAGACCAAAAACATTAAAATATCAGCTTTTCAGCCAGCTGAAGCTACTCTGTGTGGATAGAGCTGGACGACGTAACGATCGTAGATATGCATGAACGTGATAGAGGCACATGTATAATTTCATGAACTTCCAGGAGAATAAGTTTTTCAATCTAAGACATCACTTTCTACTTTGCTGATCACAAACCAAGGGGAACGCAAGTTCATATTTTGCACTCGTGAATATTTGTACGTTTGATTCGAGTAAATGCGCTTTTTTTCTTTTGGACGGAATCTGAAAGTTACCTGAAAGTTGTCGTAAGATGCGGGGTCGGCGTAAAACTGTGTCGTATAACCTAAGTTTTTAATACATTACTTCTACAGGGATTTTGCAGGCACCAAACCGATTCGTCATAAAATGTGGGTTGTTGCGAAACCAGGGGGACATATAATCCAAGTTCCACTATATGCACTTCGTTGCGAACCGATACAATGCCTATGTCGATACAATGCTTCTTGGACATGTCCAAGAAGCAATGAACAGTCGTGAGCCCACTGCAGGATGTGCTCAGTCATCACGTTGTGATGGTGATGACAATGCAGTTAGCTCCCTTTTCTGGGAGACCGTTGCCATCGCCACGAACGCAGTTTTACTCCTGTGTTCAACTGTGAAAGACTGGCACCTTTCGGACTTGTTTTATTGGAAAGAAAACCACGCATTACATTCTAGTAAATATGATAAATAAAAGCACATAGGTGTGTTTTCATTTCGCACCCACCAAAGTGTGGCCATGTTACTCGGGAATCAAGTACAGCAAAACGCCTTTTTTCTCCTTCCAAAGTGTGTTACAGTACAGCAAGATCCCGTATCCCATTCCCACTCTGGCCTAAGGCCTGCGATATAGACGTGCAGTACTTAGTAAATGAACAAAATAAAGGATATTTAAAAACAGCGAAACTGGCCTCTTCAGGCACTCACCATCGTAATCTCTGCAGCGCTTGGAGGCCTTTGCAGGAAAAGTGGTAGAACTCTGTCCGGCATCTGATGATATCGTTGTTGAGGTGGAGGGTGGTGGCTGTCCTGGTCTATAGTCAGTGTCACCATGTGGGGTGTCAGGGGCACGGGACTCTGACGTGGAGGAATTCGTCGTTGAACTGTGCGTCCCCGAGCTCCGCACCTCCGAACGTTGGCCCCCATCTGCACAAGCATTTGTTGCTCAACCTAATGCCAAGTTAAAGGGACACTCAAGAGATTTCCAAATTCACCACGCTTACCCCAGGAAGAAAGAAAGAAAACAAAATATGAAAATGCGGGTGGCGACGCCACCCTAAATCTCCTGCACCAACTGTCATAATGTTACGATGTCATATGTTCTGGCGGCATCTATTTGGTCACATAGATTTCCTAACCAGTAAAAATGAAGTACGTTGTCCTCTCAGGAAGCCATTGACTCAACAGACTATGATTCAACAAATTTCAATGAGAGTATGTTGACAAAATATTGTCACGCACCAAGAGCCGTTAAGACAAGACAGGAACAGCGGGGGAGAAAGACACGAGCGTGTATCTTCAAACGAAGCGCTAACACACACTTCTTCGTACTCTTTTCCCTTTTTGGCTTGCTAGGGCTTGCCGGCTCGCAACTCTAGGTGGCATTATTCCCCCTTCCATTAAGCATCGACTTAATGCTCATACACAAGGGGACAGCAGGGCCCATAAAAAAAAAAGGAACACAATACATATAGAGCACAGGACATATGCAGGTACAAAAAATATATGTCTGTGGTTGGTCATAAGAAAAAAAAAGATTACACAGTTCAAAGTTTGTTAGAGACCCAACAGACAACGTAAAAAAAAAGAAAATGTTTGCTGCCCGGGCACAATAAGGCGAGTATCACCGCGTAAAATAAGGTTTTAGGTGGACGAAATGCAAAATCTCTGTTCGTGGTGAGTGGTGCTGGGTCATTGCCGAGCCTCCGTCTGCAATAACTTTATAATTGATCTCATTCAACCGCCGTAATACTTTGTAGGGTCCGAAGTACTTGCTCAGGAGTTTCTCGCTGAGACCTCGCCGTCTAACAGGAGTCCAAACCTACACTTGGTCGCCAGATTGATAGGTGACTAGTCGATGGTGGATATTGTACCTTCGGGCGTCTTCACATTGCTGAGATCTTATGTGCACGCGAGCTAGTTGACGTGCTTCCTCTGCACGCTGAATGTAATCCTCGACATCAGGAGTTAGCACCTCAAGCTGGTCGCTGCCACAAAGAATCATGGCGTCTAGCATGGTTCGCACGTCTCGACCGTAAACGAGGTGGAAGAGTGCGAACCTTGTCGTTTCCTGGGTTGCGGTGTTGCACGCTAACGTTACGTACGGCAGGATCTCGACCCACGTTTTATGCTGCACATACACATACATAGAAATCATGTCCGCCAGCGTTTTGTTTAGCTTTTCTATCAAGCTGTTACTCTGGGTGTAGTATGCGGTTGTCTTACGGTGGTTCGTGCAACTGAGCTTGAAGATGTCGTCCAACAGTTTTGCCGTAAATGCTGTCCCTCGGTCAGTGATGATGAATGACAGGGCGCCGTGATGAAGCACAATGTGGTGCATAAAAAACTGGGCGACTTCAGATGCTGTACAGCGTGGCAATGGCTTCGTCTCAGCATAACGCTTCAAGTAACCAGTTGCGACGATGATCCACTTCTTACCGGAGTGAGGCTGAGGAAACGGTCCAAGGAGGTCCATCCCAACTTGGTCAAATGGTGCAAGCGATGGGTCGATGGGTTGTAAGAGGCCTGCAAGCTTTACAGGTGGTGACTTGCGATGCTGACATTGGCGGCATCCTTTCACGTAGCGTTTGACACAAGCTGCAAGTTTTGGCCAGAAATATAGCTGTCGTACCCGGTCGCGCGTTCGTGAGTATCCCACATGGCAGGATGTAGGCTCATCGTGGCAGGCTAATAGGACGTCATCACGAAGGTATTGAGGAATGACTAGGAGATAAGATCTGCTGCAGACACCGGTGTTTTTCTTGTATAATATGCCGTGTCGTAAGCAAAATGACGGCAACGTATAGGAAAGTAGACGAGGAACAGACGCGGTGCTGCCTTCTAAATTATCGATGATGGGCCTTAACTCGGGGTCCGCTCGTTGCTTACTGAGGAGGTCCGCCCCACTGAGAGTCTCGAGGAAGGCACTGTCGTCTTCTACAGCTGTATGGTCGGATTCCCGAGGTGCTCGTGATAGCGTGTCGGCGTCTTTATGCTTTCTACCCGACTTGTATACGATGGTAGCATCGAACCCCTGAAGTCGCAGACTCCATCGTGCTAATCGCCCAGAGGGGTCTCGGAGGTTAGCCAACCAACATAAAGCGTGGTGATCACTCACAACTTTAAAAGGGCGCCCATAGAGATAAGGCCTGAACTTTGTAATCGCCCATATTACCGCAAGACATTCCTTCTCTGACGTTTAATAGTTGATCTCGACACGTGATAGAGTGCAGCTCGTGTAGGCAATCACACGTTCGGTCCCATCTTGTGTTTGCACCAAGATAGCTCCGAGACCAATGTTGCTTGCGTCAGTGCGCACCTCTGTGTCAGCGTCCTTATCGAAATGACCAAGTACAAAAGGGGAAGATGTTGCAGTTCTGCAAAGGCAGTCACTTGTTCGTCGATCCACAGAAATGGGGCGTCGTCACGTGTAAGTCTGATGAGCGGCTCCGCAATCTTGGAGAAGTTTTCAATAAAGCGGCGATAGTATATGCAGAGCCCCAGAAATCACCGAAGACTTTTCTTGTCTGTCGGAGCTGGAAAAGCGGCCAGAGCGGTAGTCTTCTCGGGATCGGGCCGAATGCCTGCAGCGCTCACATGACCCAGGAACTTCAGTTCTTTGTAGCCGAAATTGCACTTCTCAGGCTTGAGGGTAAGGTCAGCGGATCGTATACCTTCAAGAACACTCCAAAGGCGTCGAAGGTGCTCGTCAAACGTTCTTGAAAAGACAACAACATCACCTAGATAGACTAGGCAACTTTTCCACTAGAGGTCAGCGAGAACGGTATCCATCATTCGTTGGAATGTGGCCGGAGCGAAACAGAGGCCGAATGGGAGCACTCGGAATTCATACAGACCGTCAGGAGTTACAAAAGCCATTTTTTCGCGGTCACGTTCATCCACTTCAATTTGCCAATAACCAATTTCAAGGTCGATTGAGGAAAAGTACTTTGCTCACCTCAGCCTGAAAAGAAAATCGTCCACTCGAGGCAACAGGTACACGTCTTTCTTTGTGACGTTATTCAGCTTCCTATTATAGACACAAAAACAAAGTGTACCATCCTTGTTCTTTACAAGGACCACTGGCAATGACCATGGGCTGCTTGATGGCTGTATTACACCAAGTGTACCATCCTTCTTTACAAGGACCACTGGCGATGACCATGGGCTGCTTGATGGCTGTATTACACCGTCTTGAAGCATTTCCTTCACTTGCTTTTGAATCGCGCATCGTTCGGTCGGTGAAACGCGGTAAGGCTGTTGCCGTACAGGATGCGTGTCGCCGTAGGTGATAATACGGTGTTTGGTAATCGATGTCTGACGGATCCTCGATGAACATGCAAAACAGGCGTGGAATTCCATCCACAGGTCATTAAGCCTTCGTTTGTTGTCATCAGAAAGCGTTGTATTTATGTCGAGACACCCCGGAGAGGCGCTTCGGCATTATCGGTTGCCTCGGAAGCAAAACACTCAGTCACATTGGTTACTGGGTAGGCATAGGCGATGACAGTACCAGGGAAAAGGTGTCGGCGCTCGTAGCTGAAGTTCGTAACAAGTACCTCGCAGTGGCCAGCCTGGAGGTCTACTAGGCTTTGTGCTACACAGACACCTTGGGAAAAGAGTAGGGATCGATTACTCTCAGCCACCATTTCACCGTGTGCTGATTTGTGATTTGTTACACGCCACTTGAACCATAACACTTGAGCGCGGTGGTATCGTCACAGCATCGTCAATTACGCGCACACATACTCGATCGTTGCTGCGATTATGCTCTGGTGTGGCGCTTTTAGTTGAGAACGTGACGAGGCGTTGTCGAACGTCGATGATAGCACCGTGCTCCCTCAGGAAGTCCATGCCTATGACCAGGTCTCGAGAACACTGACAGAGAACGCTCAAGCTGACAACGAAGGTAGAACCACGAATCTGTATTTGTGCTGTGCAAATGCCGAGTGGCGTGACGATGTGCCCGCCAGCAGTACGAATTGGCCTGAGGTTCCAAGGCATCGTCACTTTCTTCAGGAAAGCAGCCTGTTTTTCACTTATTATAGAAAAATCGGCACCCGTGTCAACTAAAGCACTGACTTTGCGACCCTCGAGCAGCACTGGAATGTTTAATGAAATCTTTGCAGAACCAGCTGATGTCGTCGTCGGGAAATTGTCAGTTTGCGGAAGCGTCCGTAGGGGGCCTTGAGCTTGTCCAGTATGAGCGGCCTCGCCCCCGAAGGTCGCTGTGGTTAGTTTTCCCGGAGTGGACTAGGTGACCGACCCTGCGCCACGCTCGAATAGGTACGGCGATTAGGAGAAAATCGCCGCGGTGACGGGGAGCGTGACTGGTGCAAGGATGACGGAAGTTCCGCGCTGCTGGCCCACATACTCTTCAATTTCAGGGGGCCGCTGACCGAACCTGGGTGGCGGTGAGTTCTTTGAAAATCCGCGTAGCCCAATTTGTCAGTAAGAACACTGTCAATACAGATGCCCAGCTTTGCCACAGTGAAAGCAGAGAGGACGTCGATATGGTGCACGCCAGACATCTGCTTTCCGCGAGATCAGGTGAGGTGCTCTGTAATATGGCGCCGCTTGGACCGTCTGCAGCATGGCTGGGGCCACGGTGGGATGCGGAATTGCAGGTGTAACAAGTTGCCGCAAAGCTTGAGCACACGACATGCGGGGGAAGTCACTGGGTGGTTGATAATCCCGCATGAAAGGCGGTTCTCTTAAGGCATGCTGGACTTCATCTCGGACAACGCTGGACAACGAGGAGATAGTGGGCTGCGAAGGCACTGACAGCTTCAGAGTTCTTCGTATGAGCTCTCGGAAGAAATTCATTTGGCCACCGAAAGCTCATAAGTAGTCCGTAGTTGAAGCGTTGACATGCCGTTCGTATGACAGGGCCCGGTGCCTAAGAGTGCTTTCGATGGTGAGGGCTTCTGTGAAAAACTCTGACACAGTCTTGGGTGGACTGCGCACGAGCCCACCGAAAAGCTGCTCTTTCACCCCGCGCATGAGGTACCGTACCTTCTTTCCTTTTGGCATGCCGGGGTCAGCTCGGTGGAAAAGACGCGTCATGTCCTCGACATACATCGCAACCCCTTCATTTGGCAGTTGTATGCGAGACTGCAGATCGTGCTCAGCTCTCATCCTATGGTCAGGGCTGGCATATGTCCCAAGAAGTCGGCGTTTGAAGTCTTCCCAAGATGTAAGAATACCTGCCCAGTTCTCATACCATACACGTGCGCCGTCCAAAAGACTGAATAGACGTGCCGCAGTTCGTCTGCGTCGTCCCACTGGTTGTGCACGGCAACAAACTTGTAATGAACAAGCCAATCTTCGACATCCTCAAGTGCAGTTCCATGAAAGGGATTTGGCGTTCGCGGTGTGAGTAAGGTGCAATGAATCGGCGTTGTGCCGTTCGTACCGATTGGGTTGGTGTCGGTAGGGCTGGTCGGAGCTGCCATGTTGTTTGTGAGTAGTCCAAACTCAGGGGATTGCCCTCGGATTCTTCTGCTGGCGCGGTGCACAGGAGTGACCACCGGAACAATGCTTGAGTTCTTGCTATGTGGAGGGGTACGGTGTATAGATTACCCAGCACCTCCACCAGTTTGTCACGCACCAAGAGCCGTAAAGACAAGACAGGAAGAGCGGGGCAGAAAGACAAGAGCGTGTATCTTCAAACGAAGCGCTAACACACACTCCTTTGTTCTCTTTTTCCTTTTCGGCTCGCTAGGGCTTGCCGGCTCACAACTCTAGGTGGCAATATGAAAAATATGGTTTGAAATCCATGATATCAGGGACAACAATTTCAGCGTGAACATTCAAAATTGCGCTGTGACCTTAATTTTTTCTGCCTCTGATGAACCTAAAACAGCAAAATTAACGACATTAGTGTTCTAAGAGGACACTTCAATAATAAACTGATTTACTGCTTCACTTTAGTGTCCTTCAACAGCTGTGAGTAGTCATGGATTGCAAGAGTAGTGTTGCATGGGCCTGGGGGGATGAGGCTATGTTTCGCGGGAACACACGACAAGATGGTGTGAAGATGACAGGCAGCTGTGTATGTGCAGCGGTGTCGTAATGGTGTCGTGAAGTGTGTGGTAGTGAACGTTGGACCTGAGTGGTGCCCGACAAGCGAGCTACGCACACTCTGTTCGCTATTTTCTTGGCAAATAAAGAAGTCATACTCCTAGACTCCTGACACAGCCACTCCAAAAATATGTGCTACATACAGGGGAACCCCAATTATACGACTTTCAGTGGACCACGCAAAATCATCGTATAATCGAAAAACTAAGATTGTAGGCAGTGACACTCAGCCTTGCCCCAAAAAACGGGTACAAACCACCTGAATAAGCCCACGGTACGACCTTGTGCCTCTGCTAGGAAGGTAGGCTAAATAATTCTTGCCAGTGGTGTCTAATGGCAGCATTACATGAAAGGAATCTTAACTTCAAAAAAATCGAATCTTATGCACATCTTTTTACCGATAAACAGAGTCCGAAAATTGCCTGCATGTGAAAACAAAACTAAAACTGCGTTAGCAACAGCCTCCCGTCAGAAGAGTCAGGCACAGTGTCATCGCTATTACATAATGGCAACGGACTATGAGTTTGCGTAGAATGCCTTTGTGCACAACTGATCTGTGCGCGTTATAATTCGTTGGCTTGTGAAGGGCAACCAGTGATTTCCCGCTGTTATTATCAACGTTGACGTCGAGTGAAAGTAATGTTGCACGGTGAAAACAGCTGCATCTCGCCCTTATGTGTGTGGAAACCCGTGACTGCGAGTGCGACAAACCCATGACTGCGAGTGCGACCAGCCAGCATGTCGACTAGGAAAAGTTTCCACAAACCAAAAACATGAAAACATCTTTTCGGCCGGCTGAAGCTACTTTCTGTGGATATAGATTGATTTGATAACGACCCCAGATACGTACCCACGCGATAAAGGCATTTGTAGAAGCGCATGAACTTCTAGAAGAATAAGTTCTCCATTCTAAGAAGAAATCCTGTCTCACTCCCAACTTCTCTAACAGTCAACTTCGGGGACACAAGTTCATATTTTGCACACGTTAATATTCGGCCAAGATCTCATCCGAGAAAATGTGATTTTTCTTTCGGACAGACTAAAGTCATTGTAAGGTGCGGGGTCAGCGTTATTATTCATTATTCTTATGGAGATTTTGCAGGGACCTAACCGATTCGTCGTACAATGCACGTCGTTGCAAAACCGGCAGACATATAATAGAAGTTCCACTGTAGTCGGATGTCTTGCCCAAAAAAGAATAGGTTCTATCTACTTACCTCTTGAACGATTGCGTGACTTAGGAGATCGTGAACGTGACCGGGAAGGTGAGCGAGAACGACGGCCACTGTGCGAACGATCCCGCGTGCCTGTTGATCGAGCTGCTCGGTCATCACCAGCCCAGCGACTGCGTGCAGTGTCTCCCCGATGTCGGCTGCCTGCATCGTGGCGCCTCCTTTCCGTTGTGCGACGTCTTCGGTCATCTGAGAAACGTCGTCCGGATCGGCGTTCGTCCTCTCTGCATGGGTTACACAATCGTTAGCCCAACTATGCAGCATAAATCACTTCGCAGATGTCATCTGTCAAGTCTTCAACGCTACAACTGCATTCCTTAGCCTATATGTGTATATGCTTCATACCTTCTCCTGCAACCTGATTAAAGAAGGAAGACAAGGCAACTACAAAAAGGGGTAAGGGGTGGGGAAGAGGGGTCGGCATGAAGAATTGGATGACTCAAAGAAGAATGAATGCAATTGGGGGGAATGGGGGGGGGGGGGAGTATTCTAGGCTTGTGCTAATACACTCGAACCCCTTCATAAGAGAAACTAATATAAGAGACAAATAGCTAAAAGAGACACCAGTGTGCCTACAGTAAAATGCGGCTTGATAGGAAAATGCATACGTGGTACCGTGCTTATAAGAGACATCGCGCATAAGAAACAAGAATTGCTGCCCAGAACGTGCCACTTATAAGGGGTTCAACTGTATAAGAGCACTTCGTATATTTGAATGAATAGTAACATAATCAAATTTCCCTCGATTCAAAATTAAAATGTTTTAAAAAATGTCAAGGTACATATTCAGAATGAACGAATAGATACGGATGCCCAATGACTTCAAATTAAACAGAATTCAAACTAACGAAATTCATTAAAGAAACAGCAAGAATTAAGATTGGGTTGTTGGAAAATCATTTAAGTTATATGTATTAACGAATATAATCTATAATCATTTTCTGCTTCTCTTCTTTGAATGCAATTGATATAGCCTTTTCTTTAACGTACAAACACGGCGGAAAGAATCCTCTTCACTTTCCTCTAATTTGGAGAATAGACGGGCGACACACATCGCCTCAAACAGCTAAGAATTAGTGTCGGTGCCTCATTCTCTTCGTCATCCTCACATCGACAACATGCGCTTCTTCGCCAGTCACCAACGTGATATCAGATGCAAAGTAGCTCTTTGACTCACATGTGTAATACTGTACATATGCTTGTGCATCTGTACGAATTGTGCCGCAAGGCATTACCTTTGCCACAGGTGTTGGAGCGGTGCCAAGTAGGTCACGCTGCAGCTGCACATTGGCGCCACGCTTCCCTCGCATGCATCCCCCGCAAGTGCGCGTTGACGTCACTCTCTCCCTCATGCGCAGCACGCTTGTCCGCAGCTGTCGGCTCCTCTGCTCGCTCGCAACGCACTTCTCTCTTGCTTCACCCTTTTCACCAACCGCAACGCTCTAACGCATGTCGAATGGAAACACTCTTTCGGCATGCTAATCTGCGATGAAACTTACACGAAACTCAACCCCCCTCCCTTGTCTTTTCTTTCAGACAAGCATCTACTTGATTAAACGCTACACCAAGTTTTGCTTCGAACTGTTTTTCCTGCATTTGCGTCGACCCCCGTTTCAACAGGGTCAACGCCATGCCCACCGATGCTGCTTCGCATCCCATCAGGGTTCCTTTTGGGGTGATAGTCCAAAATTTTATTGTCAGTGATTGCGCCGCAGACCTTTGCACTGAAATCTGCATCGACGTAATCGTCGAAGCTCATGTCCTCTTCCAGCGTATCCCACAGTCAAGCAGGAATGACCTCTGCCTCACGCTTGTTTGGCTCTCAAACTGTGCCCTCATTGGCCACAGAAAAGCAACTGCGGAGGAAGCAATTGGGAACAGTTGTTGTTTGACCTGATCTCAGGCCCGGACCAACATAAGCAAAGCCAGGAGCAGCGTCATTTTTTACTTATTTTATTTACAGATACTACAATCTTCCTAGGGGATTTTGGCAGGATAGACATACATCGTCATGGTAAAAAACAATTTAGGCAGCAAAACAATAAAGGGTAGGAAGCACTGCTTCGAAAAAAAAAATGCCATACAGATAAACACAGAGCCCGCATATGAAACATCAACGACAGAAAAATGACAAAAAATACATATTTGAACGAGATCATGTTGCTAATTAGAAAGTAAGTGAAGTAATTGGAAAGCAAATGAAGACAGTGAAGGTTGAGCAACTTGAGTGTTAGGTTATTCAAACCAGTCACAGTCTTTGAAAAAAAAATATTTGAAATAATTATTTTTTACGCAAAATGGAGTTATTATTAGGTGATGCCTTTGTCTTGTCGCATACCCAGAAGAAAAAGTAATAATGTCAGAAATATCATTATTATAATGTTTATTTATAAGCTGAAATAAGAATGTTAATCAGGAAACACGATTGTGTTTCATAAGGGCAGGCAAATTGGCTTGTTTTATACCCGTGCCACACGAGCATAGAAAATGACATTCGGCAGAGAAGGCATTCAGTTCCCGAATGACATATTTTTCGGCGGCGCTGCTACACGTCCAAAGCGAATGACATTTGCTTTGATGATGTTGATCGCTGCACCTTTCTTGTGAGCATTAGGTCAGTAGCAATAAACAAAATAAACAAGCATTTAGAAGCTTCATACACATCATATAATAAATAAACGTATAAATAGGCATATTACACTGCCGTTATATTTCGTTCGTTACTTTGTTTCACGATGTTGCAACCGACCATGTAGCAACTTAAGCCAAAGCTAGTCAGATCCGCAGCGTAGAAAGAAAATGGCCCCTGTCGCATTTATTTCACAGTGTCTACCAGCTGAAGATAAGTTTTTAAGCACTTGTTTAAGCGATTATTGTCGTTTTATGCAATTACTTCATCAGCTGTGCCTTCGAGAGTATCCATTTCTCTGTCGAACGAGTTCTGCCGATGGCATTAGGTGACGAATGGCATTTGGCGAATGTCATTTCGTTCATCCATGTGGCACCGCACAAATGACATTCAATCTGAAGGCATTGGGAGGTAAGTGCCATTTTTTCTGCCCGTGTGGCGTGGGTGAGTTCTGTTGCAGAGGTACGGGAGTAGTTATTGTCACGGGGTCGTGACGTGGCCGAAGACAGGATACTTTGTGTTGGGATTTAACAGTTTATTTGAACGAACCTGTGCCTGGCAAACGGAAAGTCCGATTACAGTAGCAGTCTTGCACAGATAGCAGTGAACGGAGCGTTGGCCGTCGATCAACTACTGACAAGCGGCGAAGTGCGTCGGCATTTATACTCTTGCCATCGAGTGTTCTAGCGTTATCGCTGGCGGTGGCGTATATTCCACAATAATCTGTACAGTTTGCAGAGCAAGCGTGATCTTATCGAAATGATCTACTAAAGTCCGGAAGCTTCTCGAAAATTGCACGCGTATTTTGTGCTGAGAATTATAGCAGTGAACGGAGCGTTGGCCGTCGATCAACTACTGACAAGCGGCGAAGTGCGTCGGCATTTATACTCTTGCCATCGAATGTTCTAGCTTTATCGCTGGCGGTGGCGTATATTCCAGAATAATCTGTACAGTTCGCAGAGCAGGCGTGATCTTATCGAAATTATCTACTAAAGTCCGGAAGCTTCTCGAAAACTGCACGCGTATTTTGCGCTGAGAATTGTGTAGTGTTTTGGGGCGATAACAAAACTTGAGAAATGGAACATGGCATTATTGTAGATGAAGCGGACAGCCTACCATAGCACCCGTTCAAGTCTTTTTATGTAAGTTTGAGAGAAGGGGTCTCAAATAATTGCAACATAATCAAGTACTGCAAGTATCACTTTTGTATGCTAACAAGCGAACGGAAGGTATTGACAGTTTGAGTGCCCTCCTAAGAAAAAACAATCTACAGTAGGCATTAGCGGTCAATTTTTCAATGTGTCGATTCCATTTTAGAGTGTTTGTTATGTGCAGGCCCAGGTACTTGTATTCTGTTACCTCAGAGAGGAAAATATTGTTAGCCGAGTAATTGAAACTTAGCTTGTCTTTTTTGTTAGTAATGCACATAAAAACAGCTTTCTCGTTTTAACCGGCATTTGCCAATCTCTACACCAGGCAACTTCACTTCACTTCACTTCATTACCTTAAAGACCCCTTAGAGGGGGTATTACATAAGGGGTGGGAAACATACAACAAATGTAATACATATGCAGGATGGGTACAAGTATGAACAGGGGTAACGAATACAGAAATAAAATAATACATGTGCAGGATCAGTATACATATTAACAGGTGTAACACCTTGCCAAAAAAAAAGAAGACAAAGTGAGAACCAGTGGCACAAAAAGGAACAATGTAATGTATTCAAATTGAAAAGAAACAAGTGACATTTTGTGTAAATGTTGAGTGGCACATTATGGTGGCGAGATCAGTGAAAAGGCCATTCCAGTCGGAAGTTGCACGAAAAAAGAAGGAGGCGGAAAATGTCGTGGTATGGGCGCGTGGCCGGCCGACATGAAAGGAATGAGTGGTGCGGTGGGATGTGCGGGCAGGAGGCAAGATATAGGGTGGGTGGCCGAGGTGACTGTGATAGAGCTTGTGGAACAAAATGAGGCTGGAAACTCGGCGACGAATGTTAAGGTTTGAAAGATTGGATTCTTGTTTAAGAGATGAAACACTCACGTTATATGAATACGAGGAATTAATGAATCTAGCTGCTCTATTCTGGAGTGATTCTAGTGCGTCGGTTAAGTATGCTTGATGAGGGCTCCAGATAGGCGACGTGTATTCAAGTTGGGTGCGAATTAAAGATTTATAAGCTTGTAGTTTTACAGGAGGGGGAGCATGACGTAAGTGCCGCTTTAAGAACCCAAGCGATCTGTTAGCTGATGATATGATATTGGTAATGTGGACGCGCCATGATAAATCGTTACTCAAAGTGACTCCCAAGTACTTGTATGTGATGACATTTTCCAATGCAACTTTACCGATTTGATATGAATAGGTGAGGGGGCTGCGCCGACGGTGAAACGAGAGGGACTTGCATTTATTAGGGTTTAGTGTCATTAGCCAATGATTGCACCAGTTAAGCACATGGTTAATGTCATCTTGTAATGCAACTTGGGCTGATGTGTTAGTAATAGTACGGTATATAACGCAATCGTCTGCAAACATACGAATATTGCTGGATACATGAAAAGGTAGATCGTTAATGTATTTTAGGAATAATAGGGG